TTGTTACTGTGATTATACACTGATTATATATGGTAATATGGTAATGTAATGAAAATGATTAATTAAACTTTTTTTGTTATTATAATTAGTACCTCGAAAGTACAATGAAATTTCGGATGTAAAGAAGACTTGGAAATTTCAGAAAACTATCGAACTGAAAATTGGTGATTTTGACATTGTAACGATAGAAATCAGTAACAAGCACAAAGAAAGCAAAGTTTCTAACGTCTACATAATCAAAATATTAAGGATATGATGGCCTAAATTTGATTACCTATATTATTGAATCCGTTGTTAAGTTACTGCATAAAAGAATCCATTAAATTCATAATAAACAAAGTAAATGAGTGTAAAAAAAAACACAAAAACGTCGATGTTGACTTGGAATGAAATCTGATAAGGTAAAAGTTATGTCGAATTATTGGTGGTTTGTATTAGAGAGGATTTTCACGCTGACACGTCCCAAAAAATATACTTTTATGCACATTATAATACTCTTAACAAATAAACTTCTGTTTTGTCAATCAGTTTCACAAACTTAAACAACACTAGAGACACGAATTTCTGCCATATTAACCAATTCTACGGCGCAATCAAATTAAATACTGAGATATTCAAAATTTCGGATATTGAACAAATTACAAACTGTAAATAATAATAATGATAATTAACTGATGAATTATTTCATTCAAATTAAACTTATATGTTTAATGTTATGTGATAATCAAATAGTTTTTCATTTTGAATTTGACTATCGTATTGTCAATTGTTTTCTCTTAGCAGCTCTTACATTTAGAGAACAATCTTATGTATGTATCTACTATGCACACACGCTGTATCTTAAATTACATTTTATTAACACATAAAATGAAAATATTTATTTGTTGATTCAATTAGCTTGGAAAGCTGTGATTGTAATTTCTAATATAAAATAATTATTCGAAATTTCAATATGATCCAATCCGATGCATAAAATCATAGGGATTATTGGACCACGTATTGCCACATAAAGTTTAACCACGTGTGATGTAAACTTTGTATGTATGTATCCTTTAAAAACATAAATTAAAGACATAGATAATTATTTTCATACGAATGCATTAATAAATTATTATCTTTAATTCGAATTTCAATTATGTTTAATATATACACAAATTCAGTTTACAAATACAAGTGTACAATGTATGTACATCTTAAATATTGTTTCGTTACTCTATCTCAACTTGTAGAGCAAAAATGTTTATTTTCATTCATATTACCTCGAATCTACATGTGTTTAAATTCAAAATCGTATGCATATATACCATTTCTTATTATTCTTACAATTAGCCTACTAGACACATCACGTGTATAGTGCGTGTATAGAAGAGCCAGAGATGAGTGAAGCAAAGATAACTCACTGAAGATAATTGTGACGTATGCGGAATAAAAAGATGACCATTCAAAATGGCTGATACGGCACCAGGTTTCAAATTCAAATCTTTGACGTTATCTACTTAGATGTTATATTCACTATCAATCACCGTGTTATGTGAACGTAATTTTGAATATTTTTAAAAATAACAGTTCGTGCGTGTTATTTCAAAGACTGCAAAGAGAATTGAAATAGTGGTGGGAATATATCTTCCCCACATACGGCCTATGAATATTTCATATTTAATCACTTGAATTTGTTTCCTGAAAATTAAACATATTTGCATACTCATTAATGTCGAATATTAAAACGTCGTATTTAATTCTTTCGAAATTTTAAATATACGAGCATAGCTTATACATCGAGTTCACTATGACGTCATGTAGATAATTCGTCTTGGCATCAAGAAAACTATCTGAAGCCGTATCTAGTGTTACATACATACATACATATATATGTGTGTTAATGCATGTTTAGTCTATAATATCTGTGCGTCTGTAGTTTATATGCATATGTAGTGTATACGTACATAGTATATATACCATTAGAGTTCTATCAGAGAGGATAGAACTAATAAATAGAACATATTAATTGCCGCGTGAAATAAATAATTTGTAAATAGATTTGTAATTAAAATATGAAAATTTTTGAAATACAATCAGCTTCTTACGTACTGCATTTTGTTTGTACACAAAAAATATACACACATGTACGTACACTCACCTTTTTGACATGGTATAGTAATCACATCATTGGACGTTATTAGAAGTGCATGGTTCGTGGTTAAATAAAAAGTTTTGTGATAGAATTTTATAAACATTTTGTATTTAAATAGGATTTAATAACTACTCTATATATAGATTATATATAAAATCATTAATAAACAAATATATTATTTACTTTAAGAAGTTATTGATATAAATAAGAATTGGTGCAACAAGACGAAAAATGGCATTAATTAGAAGAGCAACTCATGCTGGTAGTTGGTACGCAGGCTCTGGTAAGCATTATTTAAAATATATTTTCAATTCATTTAATATTCCTATATCTGTTAACTATGATATGATCGTTATTATTTATTATTTTTTATGTAAAGTTATCATATGATTTCTAGTCTTCACACACATAAACGAGTAGCTACAACAAATGATGCACCTGTAAACAGCATTTTTCTGATGCAGTAATGTATATTTATGTAAATTAATATGTAATATTAATAATTCCTGTGATATCATTTGTTGTTATTATGTTCTACTTTGATTATTCAGTAGGATAATACACATTTTATAGACATATTGCATCCAACCATACTTTATTGAATTTATTGTTTAGTTATGTTTTTCTATAAAGTTCGTATTTATTTCATATTGAATATTATCAATTTGCTTAAAATTTTGAGGCAACTCAGTAAAAATCTGTTTTTATGCAGAAATTGTTGTTTTTATTGTAGCATTTCTATTCATTTGTATAATTTTAGCTTCCATTAATAGTTTTTCTGTTTCTTTTATAATTGTCCAGATTTTGCATTAATTATTATTATATATCTTAAAATGAATATTTTGTACAGGTACAGAATTGAATAAGCAATTAGAAGGTTGGTTGGGGGCAGCAGACTTGTCACATGGACCTGCTAGGGCAATTATTGCCCCGTCAGTAATTATAGCACATTACAACCATTTTTTTTAAATTAACAAATCTTTACTGAAATACGAACACAATTTCACAGACACGCAGGGTACAGCTATTGTGGAGCATGTGCTGGTTTTGCATATCGCCAGATTAGTCCTGTTGTTGTGTAAGTTTTAGTTGGAATGAAATCTAATAATTAAATATGTGATTTACATTGGATGACTATTACATTAGTGACCATTTTTTATTTTTCATTTTTATATATTGTAGTTTTGTTTAATTAAAAACTGAGTCATTTTTATAATTCAACTTGTGAGTCCGATATATATCTGGAAAAATATTTGAGTTAAGTTTACATTTACAATAATTTAACTTGTCTTATTATATAGTATCATAATTATATTATATTTATTTTATGTAAAAAAAAGCCGAGAAATATAATAGAAATTGTATTTAAAGATGTAAGCAGCAGTAATAAAGACCTTTACCTT